TTTCGAAGATTTGTGAAACCCGACATCATGCATTGGGAGCAGCGCGGCGGACGCTTCCTTGCCCTTTCTGAATTGAGAGGAGCCCTGTGCCCAGCAGTGGGACCTATATAGTCTGTAACTTTATTTTTACCCTTATATCTTTTTTCAGTTTTTCAGTTTTTATAAAAAAACGTTACCACACTAGGATTTTCTCCTGTGTCGTGGAGGCAGTTTACAAACATAAATTGCACAAGGACAAACATCCAGACCCGGAACAATTATTTGTAGGCCATACAAATACTTTTTCCGTGCGGGATTCGAACCCGCGACCCCCAGCGCAACAACTGATTGCTAAGCCACTGCGCCACGGAGCCGTCATATCTGTTATAACTTGACTGACGAATATGTATAATTTTACTCTTTGTCGTGTGATTGCACTAGAGAACTCATGACCTATCTCTGAGGCGATAATGATTATTCCCATGGGAGGAAATTATAAGAAATACCAGAAAGATTCTATTGCTTCCGATAGATTGCGGTATGAAATACATAATAACAAGTATTCACGCCTGTCACCCAGAGGGGTAGGCAGAGACTACGAACTTCCATTTGGCACGATCCTGACACACCTCTCTCGCCTCCATTACCATATACCTACGCTTATATGTATATTTTTTTATAAGAGAGGGGGCAAACGAGCATGCGGCTCACCTGATGGTAAGTGACTACCGCCGCCCATGAACAACTGCAACACTAGGGGAACCAGGAGAATGGCAGATTCGTTGCCGGCCTTTTAAAAAGGAGTAGGCTCTGTTCTTGAAGGTCCCTAAGTCGTATCGGCCCGTAAAAATCGCTGATGGTAATCGGTTCAACAAGGACGTTGTGCGTGGAAGAAAACATCTTCTAAATCGCACAGTGGTGGACCGCCAATTATCTAGATGGTGTGGATGGTATCGGGAGTTCTGCCGCGATGTGCGTTCGTCAAATTTGGCGGCTGGGATTAATCCAAACAATTCCTCAGAGCACTCCCCGTGGTAAATGCGAAAGAAAATGCAAAGGGAAATCGGTTCAGGGCACTCTTAATCTCATCCATCTTCCATTTGGTGGATAAACTTTCGTATAGGGCTTCTTTTCCCCACTCTGCCTTTCAATACTGCAACACATTATATATGCTGCACAAGTGAACAGATTGCGGTATACCTTGTTGTGTGTGCTAGGTGTAAAGTACCCGGGTGGATTGTGCAAGACATTCGGTACTGCGGACTCACACCTTTCTACAGCGGACGAGGCCAAGAGGCCCATGCCCTGCAGTCGGCTATTATGAACTGATAAGAAGACGTTTTACGTATAGAACTGTGTCGTTTTATGGGACGGTTTTTTTATGATAAAGGTGACAAACAAACACTCAGTCCACCTGATGGTAAGTGAATACTGTGGCATATGGACATTTATCCTCGATTAAGAATCAAAATGCAGATGCGTTGTCACCGCTGATAATAATAATATGTTAATTTGTACTTGTAAAAGAAAGTAAAATTATGTTTGTGCATATTTTTGTATATTTTTGCTTTAGATTTAAAATTTGAACTGAAAATATGTATATTTTTTAATTTTATCACGACATGTAAACCAGTCTTGAACGGAGATCAACAGCAGTTACGCCTCAAGGTCGTGGCAATGAACTAGTCGATACCTTACTTTCTATTTGAAATGTTGTATGCGGTAATAAAAACATTATCCATGTATAGACAGCGGCTACAGACATAAATGCAGCGTTTGTTGTCTGTGCTTCGTGGTTAGAACACCTGTATATAAACTGGGTTCTATTTTAGCCGAAATCAATATATGTGCAAAATAAAACTGTTCCTCTCTGAGTCTACTTCATACTATCATAAAAAATAAAAATACATTGATTTCTCAATAGGACTTTTTCATAATTTAGAACAGAATAGAATAATTTTAATTCAATAAAGATTCCACCACTCACACATTTTACCACTGGTTCGGATAAAACCTCTGTCCTGGGAAGAACCAGGAGGAAACCCAGCGAGACTTTTTTAAAAAAAACACACAATTTATAATATAATATTTTATACAATTGTTATGAAAACATTTAGAAACAGCATGGTAGTGATCACCTTATTCCCAGGGGTTGTTATCAATCATACACTCTTTATATGCAATAACCCTTATTATCTTCACGCACAATCCCTGACGGGGTAGCCAGAGAGAACAGATCGCCAAGTGTCACGATCCTTACATACCTCTTTCGCTTCTTTCAGATTCATTATCTTCTTCATACACGCACGTCTAGGTATCCGAGTACTCTTGAACATCCCCTCTTCGAGCAATTTGCTCACATGGTCTTCGAAAGTTAGCCTCGGTGTACCTCGACACCTTTTAATATTAAATTTCGCGCTATATATTTTCTTCACCATTCGGTCTTCACTCATTCGCTCAACGTGCCCAAACCATCGAAGCAATAATAACCCTTATTAGACAATTTTTTTCTTAATAAATATTTTAAACATTTAAACAGATAAGGTTTGAATATTTTCTGGGACTTTGTTGTAAAAGCGTATATACATTGCCCTATTAAGAAATTACTGACTCTTCGGGTAACTGGTATAACTAACTTGTGTTTGTTCCTAGTATTTACAGACTGTACATCACTATTTTTAATAAAACTATTTTTGTTTTTGTGTATATACATTAAATTTTCGTAAATATATTTAGTGGGCAAAATTAATATATTTTTTAGAAAAATTTACTTCGCAAATATCCGCGTTATAAAATAAAATGATGTGTCTTACCTAGTATGAAGAGCACCTCCCGCCCTCCCTTAATTGCGTGCACTATCCACGTCACCACTAATCCCAGCACCGCTATTTTGCTCTTCATACTAGGTAAGACACATCATTTTATTTTATAACGCGGATATTTGCAAAGTAAATTTTTTTTCTAAAAGCTTTTATATAATGGATTTCCGCAAAGTAACGCCTGATTAAAATTTTTCTTTAAGGGATTCCTTCGGACATAACATAACATAACATAACATAAACACTCACGCCTGTCACCCAGAGGGGTAGGCAGAGATTATGGACTTCCATTTGGCACGATCCTGACACACCTCTCTCGCTTCCTCCACATCCATATACCTACGCATACACGCTCGTCGGTTAAAGGTTTATGACCTAGGTTATAAATTGCTTAAACATGTGAAACAACCCTAGACAGTAATTTAATATACTCGTGTTGATTTGTTTCGCTCTTACCCTGCTGCTTTACATTTATTAAATAAAATGATAGAGGTTTGCAGTTGTACGCGTATCACGGAAAAACTACTGGATGTATTTCAATTAGGTTTCCTAAGTGTTATTTCTGAGACACTTGGCCCTTATCAAAAATGATTAATTTATTGCGATATCTTCATTTCATATAAAGTTATTAAAGTTTTAAGAAACAACGATTTTTATACGGGTTTTTTCACACGGTGAACTATACTTCGCTTGCTGTCGCGTTACTTACCTAGATAATTTATATATTTTAGCAACGAATAACATTTTACAATGGAATTTTGTACGCAAAATAAATTTTAGCTTGCGATCTTTTTGATGTCTTTTCTTACGCATAAACGAAAACTTTGTTAATATATCAAGCAACGCGGACGAAATCGCGGGTATCAGCTAGTGAGGTATAAATATTTGCTTCCTGTCAAAAGTCACCCCTATATCTCTTATTACTCAACCTCCACTTTCCATTTATGTCCGCCAGGGGCACTGTTCAGACTTACAGTTCGGATAACTAACTATATCGCTTAGACAGACGTTAAATACAAGGACCATCGATAAAGGTTGTGAAACTTCTGGTACTTAATGATCTACATCTGTCCTATAATCAAAGCGCAGATGCGTTGTCACCCCCTGAGGATTAAGAAAGCAAACGTCGTTTTTAGTAAAAAGGGAATACGGTTTTCTACACTCATCATACAAAACGCAGCAGCATTAAGCTGCTATTTTACGTTGGTATTCTGTGAGAGCGTGGTCCTTCTTCGGCGAGACAAACAACGTGTCAGACGACGAAACAGAAAAACGACAAGCTACGAGTACAAACAAGTTAAAGTAAAGTGAAGTTAAGTATTTTATTTGTTAGATTACTTTTTCATAATGATTTTTCTTATATCTTATTATTTCACCATAACTTTGTTTACCATGAAACTAAAATTTAGACTGTTTAATTCTTTCCAATGAAAAAACTTTGAAAGCAAGTTTTATAGAAAATGCCAGAAAATAAAAATGAAGTACTATAAAAATATCGTTTATAAATGGCATTAGAGTCAACGTGTTGTTGGAAAAGTTCGTACGGATTGCAGAATTAGATAAGTCAAAATATTTAATTTTAATTTATTATAATAAAAACCTATGCTAAATAGATTCATAACCATTATCTTTATTTAAACAATTCACAATAATTTATAAATAATTTTGGTTATTTATATTATTCGTTTTAAAAATATCAAATTCGTGGAATGGACAAGAACAATTTGAAATTAATGAATTCAAATTATTGATTTTTATTGGCAGGAATTTGGCAGAAGTAGGCTAGGCGAGAAGAAGTGTAAGATTTTTTCGTCACGAATTCTTCTGACGTAGTGTAGATCATAGAGTATAATGGCGTAATTCTAAGTCTATGGTGTAGAAGGCCTTGGCGGCTATAAGGAAGCGAAATGGAATAATATCCATCTCCGTCGCACTTTTAGTTATCTTGCCATGAAAGAAATATTATTTTATATTAAATGACTGAATGATTCATTTATTTGTATTTTTTATCAATAATATAACACGTTCATCAATAATAATATACGACGAAAGGAACTTCGTTCCAACCGAGTGTTCCACGACACTCACGCATGTTTTTTTTTTCTTTTTGTAGACTTGTCGAGGCAACGTCCAGTAAAGTCACACAATTTATCTTTAAATTTTTTATTTATATAGCTATTACTACATAGTATTGGTTTTGTACTAAAGCTGATTATGAACCATTGGTACATAGTCCCCTCTGCTATAGCGTTCATTGTAATAGTGATCATCATTCTTTGAAGGGATTTGAATGATTTCCACTTGGGTTTTGGTGTCATCTTTACGGTTCTGATAGCCGTGCGAGTGGTCTAATATACCCTTGAGGCTCAGAATTGATGCCAAAACGGTTGAAAAGATACTCATCAGAAGACCTGTAAAGAGAAGAAAAGTTATAAACTACCCAGGACTGGGCACATAGTTCCAGTGTATGTTAACAGACTTTTAATCTCCATAACTTAAATTGAAAATTTTAAAATCCCCGAAACAAAAAGAACTATAGTTCAGAACACTCTCGATTAAGACACCTTTAAAAAAATTAAATCAAACACAAGTGGTTAAATTAAAAATGTTGAACTTCAATATAAATAAAATGAGAACATCATTAATGTAGTCGTAGTCAATAAATTTTTTTATAGGATAAGGGTGACAAATGAGCACAGAGTCCAATTGATGGTAAGTGGTTGCTGTGGCACATAGAAATCTACGTCTGTCCCCGTTTGCGAATCAAAATACAGATGCGTTATCGACTGTGAAGACAATGATGGAATGCTTCTTTTCCAGTAAAATATCCTGTGAGAGCGTGGTCCTTCCCCGGTCGAGCCAACCCATTCGTGCTACGACTATACAATTAATATAGCTGAAGCATGCAGCATGGCGCTTCCACGTATTAAATAATATGCATTATAAAGAATAACTCAAAACTACCGGTCAGATCTTGATAAAACTTATATGGAACCACATGAGCCGCACCATCTTTAAATAAAACAATCCTCAAAATCGGTTTACCTTAAAAAAAAAGATAGAAGAGAAGTACACACATAAAAAATACAGTTGAATCGAGAACCTCCTCCTTTTTTGAAGTCGGTTAAAAATCGTTTCGTGCGTTTAGGAGCTATGATGCCACAGGCAGCCACACAGATACACAGATACACATTACAAACTTATTACAGCTCTCTGTTATCGTCGGGGGTAAAAACCAATACAAAAAATTGCAATTGATAAGTATAGGTCTATCTGCTACAATTCAAGTCACTATACACATTAGTTATGCCACTTAGTATCCTAATATTTGAAATATTTAATAACCGTGTAATGGCTGAATAGAATTGACTATCTCAATTATGTCGTGTGTGTCGTTAGGGGCGAAAGAGTCAAGGAAACAGCAGGAACGCTGCAGCAATACCCTCCATATTAATAAAAAACAAAGGCAGTCTTAAGGACTGCCGACGAAAGCGAAAACTCAATGTGACTAATGACTATCGACGCGTAGTAGACATGATGTATGTAGAGCATGTCGAGGTCATCGGTGACGCAAACCCATAAGTATTTCCCCTAACATAAATCGTTCAACGCGGCTAAAGAAGTTTTCACCTCAATAATTTGTCATAATATATAATACATCGTCTAGTGTTAACGGAGACTAGCCATCTGTGCAGGACAGGATTATAGTGCCTGGTCAAATGCACAAGCACAAGTGCATTCTTTTTACACGTGGTAGAGCCATGCTGCATCTATATTTGTAATACAGTTGTGGTACAAATGGGTCGGCTCGACCGGGGAAGGACCACGCTCTCACAGAATACCAGCATAAAATAGCAGCTTAAAACTGCTGTGTTTCGCATGGTGAGTGTAGAGAACCGGAGACCCTTTTTACTGGAAAAGAGGCATTCCATCTTAGTCCTCACGGGTGATAATGCGTCTGCATTTTGTTTTGCAAACGAGGATAGATGTAGATGTCTATGAGCAACAGCACCCACTTACCATCAGGTGGACCGTGTGCTCGTTTGTCACCCTACCCTATAAAAAAAAACTCTCTATTCCCTCACTTTCATAGTCCGATGTGACGGTTATCCGACACGACTGGAAAGAGATCAGGTTCAAAACCAACGGCTTTACGTGCTTTCTGAGGTATGGGGGTGAGACACCGCCAACTTCCTAAGTCTGGTTTACTACTGAGAATTTCTTGACAGAAAAAGCCAATAACTGATTTTGACTCGACCCGGGATTTGAACCTGGGACCTCATGATCAGTAACTACTTTTACGGCCACTAGATCAACGAGGCAGTCAATTGTCTTAACATTATTATAAATTTTAGACAATTATACATTTTTTAATAGAATAAGACCGACAAACGAGCACACAGTCCACTTGACGGTGAGTGGATGTTGTGGCCCAAAGATATAAGTGAATTCTGTGGCACATCTCATGGACATCTACATCTATCCTCGATTGGAAATCAAATGCAGATGGCGTTGTCACCCCTGAGGAATAGGATGGAATGACTTGTATCCAGACAAATTATGTAAGATCGTTTACGTGGTAGAGGCACGCTGCAGCTATATTAATAGTATAGTTGTAGCACGAATGGGTCGGCTCGACCGGGGAAGGACCACGCGCTCACAGAATACCAGCGTAAAATAGCAGCTTAACACTGTGCTGTGTTTCGTATGGTGAGTGTAGAGAACCGGAGACCTATTTTACTGGAAAGGAGGCATTCCATCTAAGTCCTCACGGGTGACAACGCATCTGCATTTTAATTCGCAAGCGAAGATAGATCTAGATGTCTATGGGCCACAGCAACCACTTACCATAAGGTGGACTGTGTGCTCATTTGTCACTTCAACTCCAAAGTGTGGTCCTTCCCCGGTCGAATAGAATGGAATAGAATAATTTTTATTCAATATTGATTACATGTAAAAAAACGTCTGTCCTGGGCAGAACCAGCAAGAAACCCTGCGGGATTTTTTTTTAAAAGTATGACTTACAATATAATATTTATACAATTGTTATGAAAACATTAAAAAACAACATGATTCCCGCCATACCATTTTTTTTTCACTTCATTGCGTCACCTCATTCACAGGGGTTATTATAAATCGAGCCGACCCATTCGTGCTACAACTATAATATAGCTGCAATAATAAAACCCTACAATTCGACAATTCTTACCTTTAATGTTTTAGGTTTAATAATAATGATATTCTTACCCTTAACAGATATAAAAGTGAGCGTCTTTAAAGCGATTGATATGAGCAGATTTTTAGCAGCCAGCAATCCTATGAGTAGTGGAAGCATATATTTGCGCTTCATCATGATATGTTTGTGTTTTCTATGCTTCTTGTATAATTTTAAGATGCATTTCTTCACTTTACCTATGCGGTTGTGTTTCTTCTTGAGTTTCTTTCCAATTTTCTTTGTATTTTTTCCCCTGCCTTTTACTTGTGTAGTAATTGTTGACGGTTTTACAGGTTCCATCCCTGTAAATAGAACAATGTCAAGTTTAGAACATCTTGTTGGTTTTTGCTTAAGTAAGTAAGTTAAGTGCTTTTGGAGTAAGGGTGACAAGAGAGCACACAGTCCACCTGATAGTATGTGGTTACTGTGGCCCATAGACATCTACATCTATCCTCATTTGCGAATCAAAATGCAGATAAGTTTTCAGCCGTGAGGACAAAGAAGGAATATCTCTTTTACATTAAAAAGGGTCTCCGGTTATCTAAAATCACTATACGAAACACAGCGGCATTAATCTGCTATTTTACGCTGGTATTCCGCGAGAGCGTGGTCCTTGTCCGGTCGAGCCGACGCATTCGTTCTACAACTATACAATAAATATAGCTCCAGCATGGCTCTACCACGTATAATTCAGTATTGAGAATAATACGAGTATTACGAACCATGTTGATAGAAACACACGATAAATGAGATAGCAAATAGCACAGACATTTTTACTTGTAGTCTGAGTTTTCAAAAGGTCACATTATTTGTGTAATGTAATTTATACTAATTATTGTTAGTGTACCGTGTAGTGGCAGTATAAGAATATCCACTACTCTATGACATCCCGTGGGTGTCGTAAGAGGCGACAGATAGAAACAAATCAGGAGATCGGCAGCAGCGTCAGCGAAAATTAAAAACCTACGCTTACAAACCCGCTTGCCAAGCATGCAACTATGACAAAAATCCCCCCAATAAGGCAATCTATGGGGAAGGCCTATATTCAGCAGTATACTTTATTAGGCAGTAACGGTAACAGTATGTGTGATGTGTTATTTAAATTATTATAATGACTTATTAGTTACTACAAAAATGCAATAGGTAATTCTGTCTTTATAGCTGTTAGTACGAAATAAATAAATAAATAAATAACCATACCTTTTAAAATTCGCGCCTCGAATGGTTCACTTTGGAAATTCCAGTGCAGAAGGTCCTTGTCATCGAAACTACTGTTAACAAAATTTTGAAGGACTGGACGACCAAAATCGAAAGCTGAATCTGTATCAACTATACCATAGTTACTTGTAGCATCCAAAATAAGGCTGTTTATATGAGGTATCATTTTAAAAGTATACATTGTAAATGTGTCTAATGTTGTTTCAGGTTTAACAGGTTACTTCATGAACGCATTCTCGTCAACAGTACTGCTTGAGTATGTCACATGTCTTTTATACCGTTTTAACTAGTTCATTGCAGGCTATCATGCATTGCACTTTGGTGGAGTATTATCTGACCTAATGGCTAAAACGTCGCTAATGTAGGCTTTAGCGAAAGTTAATATGTAGCTATTTCATTTTTAATTACTTGTTTAATTTGTTAAACGGTACCAATAAATGGCAAAATTATGAAAAAAAAAGTTGTATCCCATGGTTCATTACATTTTACAAATGCTCTCCTTTTTATTATAGCACCGTTTGTGATGGCGCCACTGTAAATTAATGGAGTCGAGTGAAAATATATAAGTAAGAAATAGTAAATCATTATTTTAACAATTTAACAAATGCGTTTCATTTGGATATAAATTACTGCACAAATCACTTAATGATTGTAATAGTAATTTATGCAATTTTAAGTGCTGATATACCACGTGTTTGGCGGTAAAGGAAAACATCGCGAGGAAAACCTTCATGACGAAGAAAAAAATTATAGAATAAGGGTGAAAAACGAAGTCACAGTCCACTTGACGGTGAGTGGATGTTGTGGCCCAAAGATATCTACATTTATCCTCGATTAAAAATCAAAATGCAGATGCGTTGTCACCCATGAGGACTAAGGGAATGCCTCGTTTCCAGTAAAAGTATTTCGAGGATATGTAAAGTTCCCCAACATGCAATGGTGCATCGTGACGATCTAATAGCTCCAGCTTCTTAGATATAACAAGATGCCTGTGACTAAAAGTGGGACGTATATAAAAGGTTGTAACTTTAAAACTATACAACATTTTTTATAGATTATAAAATTATTCTCTTTAATTTTAATTACTTTTTTATATCTATTTAATATAGATGTCTATGGACCACAGCATCCACATACCATCAGGTGGATTGTTTGCTCGTTTGTCACCCACATTCTTAAAAAAGAACTCTGGAAGCAACTTAAATGTACCTACGTTATTTGTAACGTTTCCTTTAATAATATACGTGGTAGAGCTACGCTGCAGTCATATAGTTGTAGCACGAATGGGTCGGCTCGACCGGGGAAGGGCCATGCTTTCACAGAATACCAGCGTAAAATAGCTGCTTAATGTTGCTGTGTGCGTATGGTAAGTGTAGAGAACCGGTGAACTTTTTTACTGGAAGCATTTCATCTTAGTCCTCACGGCTGACAACGTATCTGTATTTGGATTCGTAATCGAGGATTGATGTTTATGGGCTACAGCATCCATTTACCATCAGGTTCACTGTGTGCTTGATTGTGAAGATTATTCTGCAAAAAAATGAAATGTAAGTAGTTTATAGGCCGTGTAAAAGCGTCTTGTAATGCCGTGTGAGAGTGGCTTGTAAAAGTTATTCATTTTATCACACTGTCATACCCTTCCTAAAATTATATTTAAATATGAACTACGTTTACGTTTCGATGATAATCGTTCCTTTTTTGTTTTTTCATATAGTTGTATTGTAGCATGATCGTTAAAGTACAATTAAATTTCATTACATATGAATGATGTCTAATGCCCATCTCACCTGTTCGTAGTACAATTTGTTATCAAAAACGAGCTCTGACGCAGGGCTACGCTCGGGGTTTCTCTGTGTTATAGACTTAAAAATAAGGATATCCGCAGTAGAACCAGATCAACCAACAAATCCTAACGGATTAGTAAGCTGATGTGGCAATGGGCCGATAATGTAGCTCGAAGAACCGACAACCAATGAGAAAGCAAGATATTCGAGTAGCCTCATGCCGACCTGGTAAGACATGTTGGAAATCTATGAATGCAGGTGACCCAGGACCGAGCTTTGTGGCATTCTTTGGGGGAGGTCTTTGTTTAGCAGTGGACTTGTAGAGGCTGTAATGACGATGATGGTGATGATCCAATTGATTAATAAATTATTGAATAAATAAATAATGTAACAGACATTCCACAGACTGCTGATGGGTGGCAGGACTGTTTAAACCGCTTAACCAACGTGGTAAATATTAGGCAAATTAATTAAGTTATAATGTGGCAGGTTTGAAAGATGACCTTATCACAAAAATTGATAAGGGCGTGCTTCGGTGGTTTGGGCACGTTGAGCGAATGAGTGAAGACCGAATGGTGAAGAAAATATATAGCGCGAAAGTTAATATTAAAAGGTGTCGAGGTAGACCGAGACTAACTTTCGAAGGCCATGTGAGCAAATTGCTCGAAGAGGGGAGGGTCAAGAGTACTCGGATACCTAGACGTGCATGTATAAAGAAGATAATAAATCTGAAAGAAGCGAAAGAGGTATGTAAGGATCGTGACACTTGGCGATCTGTTCTCCCTGTCTACCCCGTCAGGGATTGTGCGTGAAGATAAGTAAGTAAGTAAGTAAGTAATTAAGTTATGAAGTATAATTAGTGAATCTGGTAGGTACCGTCGGTCATTTCAGTTTAAAAAAATTAACCAGTGTTAATTAGATTAGTGTGATATGACAGATTGGGATTGGATTTGGGTGGATGGTTAAGAGGACATATGAGGGGTGTTTAACACATACACAAACACTTACGCCTGTCACCCAGAGGGGACGGCAGAGACTACGGACTTCCATTTGGCGCGATCCTGACACACCTCTCTCGCCTCCTTTACATCCATATATCTACGCATACACGCTCGTCGGTTAAGGGTACTCCTAATTATGCCCATTTTTAATGTATCGTCGATTTGGTCAATAAACCTTCGTCTAGGGCGTCCCTTCCCGACCCTGCCGTTCACTTCTACAACATAAATTTGCTTTGTCACTCTTTCCTCTTTCATTCTTTCTACATGACCAAACCACCGAAGCATTCCTTTCTTAATTCTTGTCACATCTTGCACACCACACTTTTCTCTTATCACACTATTTCTCACCATGTCATTCAGATTCAGCCCTAGCATACTCCGTAATGATCGCATTTCTATAGCATTTATTCTACTTTCATGATTCTTCTGCCAGACCCAACTTTCACTACCATACATTAAATTAGGGACTAACATAGCATTATGAATTGCCATACGTGCCTTATTTGACACATTCTGACTCCTCATAATAGCGCGTAGAGCACCATTCACTCTATTTCCTGCGTTCACTCGTCGATCTATATCCTTATCATATCTACCATCCCTGCTAAATAAGCATCCCAAATATACAAACTCATCCACTTGCTCAATCAACTCCCCTTCTATTCTTATTTCACATAACGTTTACTTTCTTCTCTTTCAAAAACCATCACTTTTGTCTTACTTACGTTCACTTTCATACCCCTTTCTTTTAATGACCAGTTCATTAAAGTAATCATCATTTGTAACTTGGCCGCCGACGATGCAAATATGACTTGATCATCGGCGTACAAAAGTTCTCAACCCACATTCTTCAACTTTCAAAGTTTGCAAACAACTGTCCATAAATAGGTTAAACAGCTATGGGGAAGCCACACATCCCTATCTGACACCTTTATGAATCCCAAACCAGTCCGAGTAGACTCCGTTGATCCTGACAAAAGCACTGGAGTCCCTATAAAGAGACCTTAATGCCTGTATCAAGCCAGCGCTCAACCCAAATGAGTTCAGTGTTTGCCATAACACATTCCTGTCCACTCTGTCATAAGCCCTTTCCAAGTCCATGTTTAGTACATAGGCTGCACTAAAAGTATCGGGAATGGAATATTTCCACTGTTCCTGTCATATTAAAATATTCTTAATTGAAAAGTTCTTGGTTTTTTAAAATCGAATACCATTTATTTATTTAAAAAAAGATTCTCGGTCTTGTCACAAGGTTTTGTCAAACTTCTTTAGTCGTTGAGAAAATGGAATTGACTCGAGAAAATTCAAGAGCGATGATTTATTATGACTTTCGAAGTGGTTTAACACAAAAACAGTGTGTTGACCGGATGATTTCTGCATTTGGTGATGAAGCCCCATCCAAAACCACAATTTATCGCTGGTTTGCTGAATTTCAACGTGGACGAACCCGAAACAAAAAATCAGTCCCGAGTTTGGGTGTTCGAAAATGAGTTAAAGCCAACAAAAATTGTTCGTTCACGGAGTGTTGCAAAAAAAATGGTGGCCACGTTTGTCTCCAAAACCGGCCATGTTACGACTATTCCTCTTGAGGGACAAAGAACGGTTAATGCAGAATGGTATCCTAGCATTTGTTTGCCACAGGTCGTTTCTGAACTACGTACAGAGAACTGCAACCGCCGCATCATCCTCCATCATGACAATGCGAGTTCTCACACCGCACACAGAACAAAAGAGTTTTTAGAGCAATAAAACATAGAATTATTAGACCATCCGCCGTACAGCCCCGACCTAAGCCCTAATGAAAATAAAGAATAAATTACGTGGACAGAGATTTTCATCACCTGAAGAAGCTGTGGACGCCTACAAAACGGCCATTTTGGAGACCCCAACTTCCGAATGGAATGGTTGCTTCAATAATTGGTTCCATCGTATGGAAAAATGTGTCAAATTTCGCGGAGAATACTTCGAAAAGCAATAAATACATTTTTTAAATAGTAATGTTGTGTGATTCCCGAAATTTTCAGTGCCGCCCTCGTATATACAGATATATTTCTCTATTGTTTCTCTAGCTAAGGCCGGCAACGCATCTGCAATTCCCCTGGTTCCCCTGGTGTGGCAGTTGTTCATGGGCGGCGGTAGTCACTCACCATCAGGTGAGCCGCATGCTCGTTTGCTCCCTCTCCTATTAAAAAAAAAAGACACTAGAGCAAATATTGTTTTACCATACAATCTTATCCCATATCATCCCGTGGTGTCGTAAGAGGCAACAGGGGGAAACAAATCAGGATATGGGCAGCAACGTCTTTCTAATAAGGATTAAAAGTAAAAAACTGCCAACCCGCTTGCCAAGTGTGGCAACTATGGCAAATATCTCCCCTATGAGGCCTATGTTCAGCAGTGGACTTTATTATGGTGTAACGGTAACGGTATTAGACATCTAGTAACCAAATTTCATTTAAACACAACAAATTAATGAATTACTTACAAATATGGATACAATCTTCCTTATATGGTTCTTGAAAAAAAAAAATCGGTCCAGTTTTGAAAAAATGAAACAAGGGAATATGGAAATCTGGTTTCGCAAAATTTTCAAAGGTATTATTAGTAAGCCGAGCTGTGGCTGTCTCTCCCGTTTATCTAGCTCGGTCTTTAGGGCACAATGCTACAGCAAAATACCGTAAAAACCAATTTTTTCAAATTTATTGCTCTCCGGATACTCTTTTAATGATAGGAAAAAACGAGCGAAGACGCAGTAAAATTTATTTATAATGAAATCACCAACTTTATTTGATCAGTAAAGCCAGATGATTCTATTTTATTTAGTAAAGATATAGAAGGCTTATTTTATTTGTTTTGGCTGTGGTAGCACCGTGGGTAAGCGTTTAGTTGCGGGGCCGTGGGTTTCGATCCCGTCTGGAAAGTATTTGTTTAGCCTACGCATAATTCTTCCAGGTGTTAATGTGTTCATCTGCTATTTATGCATGTCAAATGTCACCACAATATACGAAAGATCGTAGTATGAGTAAACTTTTTTTAAAGAACATGAAAAATAAACAACTGCTCACACCAACTGCCAAATTTTACCATCACACATCGCGACAAAATTCACGGTCCATATCTGGTAGCTTGGCGGTCTACCACTGTGCATTTTAGTAGGAGTTTTCTCTCTAGGATGACTTCATTGTCATTCGTTCGTTAACAACCCGCAATTTTTCCGGAACGACGCGACTTAGGGACCTTCAAGAAACGAGCTCACTTCTTTTTGTAAGGCCAGCGAAGCACCTGTGATTCCCGTGGTGTTGCAATTGTTCATGGGTGGCGACATTTACCATCTGGTTAGCCGCATGCTCGTTTGCCCCATTTCTTTTAAAAAAATTAGATTGGAGATCGTTTGTGTAGGCCGCTTGCCGATGGTTCCTCAATACCGGCAGGTAACGTGTCCTATTGTAGCGGGCGTAATATTGAGGCGTGGTAACAGCGCATGCCTGTGCCGCGCCGCTTGAGTGTAAATCACGATATGCCGCTTTCATACATTTTTTCATCAATGATATGTTTCTCACTGGTAGCATTCATTGCTATGCAGACGACAGCACTGGTGATGCCATATATACCGGCCGTGCCAATATTTCTCGGGAAAACGTCGCCGAGTACCGGAACAAACTTGTGTCTGAAGTCGAGTCTTTGCTGAGCAAAGTCTCGGATTGGGGGCGACTAAATCTAGCCCAGTTTAATCCTCAGAAGACACAGGTTTGCGCGTTTGCCGCTAAAAAGAACCCCTTTGTCGTATCTTCTCAGTTTCAAGGCGCTCCCCTTGCTGCCTCAGCTAGCATCGGAATCCTTGGCGTCGACATATCGAATAGTGTGCAGTTTCGTGGTCACTTGGAAGGGAAGGCCAAATTGGCCTCTAAAAAGCTTGGCATGCTCAGCAGAGCGAGACAGTATTTCATGTCGGCACATCGCTTACAACTTTACAAAGTGCAAGTTCTGCCTCACATGGAATACTGTTCTCATCTCTGGGCCGGGGCACCCCAGTGCCGGCTCCTTCCACTTGACCGCATCCAGCGCGGTACGAATCGTCGACGACCGAGTTCTTTCTGATCGGCTCGATACATTGGCACTGCGTAGAGATGTTACATCTCTTTGCGTGTTTTATCGCGTCTATCACGGGGAGTGCTCTGAGGAATTGTTCGGACTAATTCCATCCGCTCAATTTCACCATCGCACATCGCGACAAAACTCGCATTACCATCCATACCATCTGGATGATTGGCAGTCCACCACTGTGCGATTTAGAAGAAGTTTTTCCCTCGCAATTTGTGGAATCAATTACCACCAGCAATTTTTCCGGACCGATACGACTTAGGAGCCTTCGAGAAAAGAGCTTGCACCTTTCTAAAAGACCGGCAACGCATCTGCAATTCACCTGGGGATGCGGTTGTTCATGGGCGGCGGTAGTCACTTAACATCAGGTGAGCCGCATGCTCGTTTGCCCACTCTTCTATAAAAAAATGATGTAGATGTCTATGGGCCACAGCAACCACTTACCATCAGGTGGACTGTTTGGTCGTTCGTCACCCTGATCCTATAAAAAAATTGTCCAAGCTATTGTAATATTAGTATATTCCTACGAAAAATCTTTAAATACCGCGATAGATATAATGCAGCGCGTATATATTTTATCATCACCATATGCACTATTATCTCTTCCTTTGTAAGAAAGGTTGGCCTTTAGCGTTGCTCCCCATTTCTGGTCAAGGTTGAGACTGGGGTATAAAGATCGTCGTAGTTTTCATCCAGGTAATATTTTTATGGGCAAAATACAAAACCAATCAATTAATATTTATATTGTTTAACATTTCCGTAATATTCGTATTAGTGAACAAATATTGATGGTAAAATTAATGCTTTTACAGTAAATTTCGCTACACATGTAAACTAAAAATAAATAACTTACAATTATTTAATCCCAATTAATATAAAATATTTACAATAGGGATAAAGTAAAGTTGTTATAAAATTTGTAGGCATCAAATGTTGAAGACAGATTAAAGAAAATAATTGTTTTGGTGAAAATAATCATTGATTTGTCGGACTAGAAAACAAATTTTGTTCTCTACTAGCTGTTACCCGGCACGTTACTGCCACAGAAGAAATAATTGTGATATATAATTATGAAATAAATATTTCGATTCTATATGCGTTCCACCTACTGTAAGTTTACTACTGTGCCTATATTTTTAGCAAAAGAGCAAGCAATAATTTAACAAAGTTTTACCGCAATCTGACGAACGCATAAAATACGAACAAACAAACATAAATTTTTATATACTAGATTTAATAATGTTGAAGGTCACAACCATAAATTTATGTTGAAATGAGAGCAAAAATTAAATAGAAGAATTGAAATTTTCTATTTAGTTAATCTTGGATGGCATCTGCGAGCACTCGTCAACCTTATTTATCATATTAATATCCTCCTTTCTGTAGACCCATTACTGCAGCGAACAGTGCGAAGAAGAATCCGGCAAGTCCTGTCGCTCCCACTAACAACACAAGTCCTGCAATCATCACCGGAACCAGTGCCAGATATTTCAGTTTGTATGCTAAGAGCAATGGCATCATGTACTTGGTTATCTTTTTTGCTTTTTTTCCCAACTTCTTCTTGTATTTACCAGAAAAGGAGTAAGTGTTCTTATTTTCATCTTCTTCTTCACCTAACTCATCTGCTAGTTCATCTTCCTCTTCAGGCTCTTCGTCGTCATCCTCGGCGCCTAAGACGTCTGAAAATTAAAATGAAAAAATTACATGTTATATATTATATAGTGCAAGGCTCAACTCAAGCGCTCGCTATAAGTTCACAGTACGTAAGCATCTTGTACATTACGTTGTAGAGCCACGCTAGCGTATTGATTGTCTTACGGCACGACAATATATATATTTTTTTTTTTCTTTATGGGAGGCGGAAAATGCATTACGCATACCACGATGGCTATCCATCGTGGTTATGGGGGACTCACACCTAACGGGGGAGCCTATGTGATACCCCCTAAAAACCGCCTTTGGGGACTGGCAACCAGCTGTTTAAAGCTTCCTATGCCGTATCGTAAAGCGACCCTCTTTTGGGAAAAAGAGGGCGCAGGCGGCTATAAGCCGCTGAGGGAGTGCCTACGAAGGCAATTTGATTGTAAAAATTTAATTATTTATGAAAGTTTAATTATGAAATTGACTGAGCCACCAGGAGGTAGTTCAAATCGTTTGACAGAGAATAGGCGGGTTCGAGTGGGAGTTCCTCGGCCTGCGGATGCGATAGCGAGAGGGAGTGGGGTTGCACACTTAGCTACCTCACGAATAAGTATGTTTAATGAAACTCTGAGACTTTGAAGAAATTTCAGAGAGTTTTAATTAGTGAGTGCCTACGGAGGCAGTTTTAACCCGACGTATTTACCTTACGATGAAATGATTAAAATAATTTTATAACGTACTTAAAAGATTATGATGCTCTGTAAGAGCAAGAAGTCTGTCCTGAGGGGACTTGGCAGCGCGCAATTTGCGTGCTAAGACTGTGATCTCCTCAATGTTGATGTTCTTAATAGCGGCGTACACCGTATTTAGATCATCAGCCATTGAGGGCTGTTCATGCTGTGCAGCGGGGGTCGACCGCGGAGGGTCGGCCTTTTTGGGTCCCCAGGGGAAGACTGGAGGCTGTAATGGTTGCGAGAAGCCCGGAGGTGGGCGAAGAAGAGGGGGAGGGACCCGGGAGGGCCTTGGGTCTACCTGAGATGGGCGAAAATATCTCTTAGGTGGCAATCTTGACGGGAGGGCCGGGAATGACTTAGCATTAACCGGCGGTGGAGCGTGCCTAATGGGGCGGGGGTGAGGTGCGCAAGGGCAGCCTCTGTAGTTAGCCGGGTGGCCTGTTTGTTTGCACAGGACGCACGCGGGTGGGGATTCGGCATTTTTGGGCCGGGGACACTCTTTCGTGTTGTGGGGGTCGAGGCACTTAACGCACCTGGGTGGGGCGGAGCAGTTGGTCGCCGCATGACCATATAACTGGCAGCGGTGGCACTGCGCCGGGTAGCCGCGCCTATGTGGGAGCTCAGCCCTAACTCCCGACAGCCCACACACTGTGCGTAACTGTCGGAAGATAGTCTGTGCCTCCGGAGCGTTTGCAAGAATAACGAGAGCGAGGGGGAACCTCAAGCCCGTTCTGCTGTGCATTTTATGCACAGCCTCAACCGGGAATCCTTGGGACTTAAGGTCCTCAAGGATTTCCTCGTTGGAAATTTCAAAAGGGACGCCTCGGATGACGGCCCTGATTTTGCGCTCTTCCGGAAGAGCGTACGTGTGATAAGAGACTTTTTCGGCTGTGAAGAGCCTGGTGAGACGACGAAAGTCGTCGACAGATTTGGGGATGATTTTAATAGCCTCCCCAAGGTTGGTGGCTTGGTCATATTTTATTCCTGCGTCGTAGCAGGTTTTGGAGAGGCGGGTGAATTGAGCCTTGTCTCGTAAGAAGACAGGGGGCGGGACTTGCTTCTTAGTCGGGTTAGAAGCACAGCGGGAGGCCGGCTTGGGCAGTGGTGTCACGGAAACGGCAGCGGGAGCTGCGGGGACTGAGGCAGCTACGGGGGCTGCGGGGTTTGCGTGGGCGGCAGAGGCCGCCGAAGCGGTGAGGTTTTTCGCGGTGCGTTTACGACGCTTGGAAGACACCGTCGTGTACTCTGATTCTTCGGATCCGTCTGAGTCAGACGACTCCGTAGAACCAGAGCCCCGGAGTGTAGATTCTGAGTCGGAGTTGGAGTTGGAGCACTCCATGTCTACTTCGAGAGGCGCGAATGAGTTCTGGGACTCAATGTGGGCCGCTATTACGGGCGGCGGGATAACTGCCTTACGGGCGGGACGAGTCAGAAGGGCTAGAACGGCGGTAAGCGCCTGCGGGTCGACCGTCCTATTGATGGCCTCGTACAGCGAAGATTTTAAGTCCTGAGCGGACATTTTAACCGATTCTACAACTAACAAACTAAAAAGAATTTAAAAAAACTATTAAAACTATCGTATGGCGTGGGGGATCACCGTTCTGAAAAGAACGGGACGGTTTTATTCTAGGAGTTGTGCCCTGGTTCTCAAAAGAACAGGGCCTTGCTCTGAAAAGAGCAAGTAACTCCCTTGAAACAATATACACGTTAGAAATAATAACAATAAAATAATCACAAAACAAAAATGACAGTTAAAAAGCAAGACCAACAGTCAAACCGCCCCGTCCGGAGACAGGGAGGTAATAACTGGAGTTAGCGTAAAAGGACTCACCAGGCGTCGCACTGTACAGTGCGAGCAGGACAGCGGAGGCGCGAGAGCGAGAGAGCACTACCGTACGGGGACGGATGTGCGGACTACCTGGACACGACCGCTCGAGAGCGGTGCCACAGGCGGAATGAATACAAATAAAATAGAAAAATTACAGCTTATATACGTTTACAGGGACTCGCCTCATTTCTGAGAAGGTTTTAGTGCAATAAAATGTCCGCCGCGCTGCCCCAATGCATGTTGGCGCACTTCAAGTGCCTGCGAAATAATATTTCTTCTTATTTCTCAGACATGCAGGTTTCCTCACGACGTTTTCCTTCACCGCCGAGCACGTGGTAAATCAGCACTTAAAATTGCAATTAACAATTTCATTAGTGCCGGCGGGGAACGAACCCGTGTTGCTCGCGTACTCATTAAACAGATGTTAAATATATTATATGTTATTTACAGCTAGATAAGTTCAATGGTAATGTGATAAAAGTCAGATGTTTAAAAATTTAAAGGAACGGTATTATTTAAGCAGGTGGATCAGAACAATTTATTTGGCATTCATTAGGGTAAGCCTATGACCAAAATTGGAGTATTATAATAGAGACAGAAGAAAATAAAAGCACTTATGCCTTGTAATATTAATGTTCGTAGCACAAACGGGTCGGCTCGACCGTGGAAGTACCACACTCTCACAGAATAGCAGCGAAAAAAGCAGCTTATTGCTGCTGTGTTTCGTATGGTGAGTATAGAGAACCGGATACTCTTTTTACTGGAAACGCGGCATCCCATCTCAGTCCTCAGGGGTGACGACAAATCTGCATTTTGATTCCATGGAGATGTCCATGGGCCACAGCATTTACTTACTATCCGGTGGGCTGTGTGCTCGCTGTGGTGTGTAAGGGTGACACACCTTATACTCTAAAAAATAAAACTCTATAAAGTAATCTTTTAGAAAGGAATATTTGAGATAATTTTTATAATTGTATGAACATTTAATTTGCAAACAAAAATTTCCAACACCAGTGAAAGTAATTTCTGTGTAAAATAGTCTAAATAAAGTATCGCGTATGCCAGATAAATATCTCCCCGTGTAAGGGACTACATCTACTACTAGCGATTACATTACATCTCTTGGGTGTCGAAAGAGGTGTGCGATATACAAATGTGTGGGAATGTGTGATGTTGTTGGCTAATAATGTACTAGTTACTAATGCTTGATAACCTCGCAATATGACTCACAGATGGCGCCTAAGGTGCCTATCGGGTTCAGTAATTAAAATCTCAAAAGTCACTGATGATGTATTCAGAAATTACTATTTACAAATTAAGCTATATGTTAGGGGCGATACTAAATATTTTCTACTTGGTAGCGGCCTAGCATGAGCTGTGACGGGGAACGGCTGGTGTTTGCCGTCGAACGCATTGGACACAAGTGTAAAATGTCAAATCAGCAAAATTATGTAACTACTGTCTCCCTACGGAGGCAACAGAGGAATAAAACAGGAGATAGACAACAGCAACTTCCTGATAACATCTCTTTTACTATATGGTAGGGCTCCTTTTCTTTAGGTACTACCCTCTTATCTATTTTTGCAGCCAAGAAACAGCGCTTGCAGTGCTGTGTTTCGTACTGGAAGGTATAGAGGGCTTGTATAAATACAGGCTTTCAGGCATTCCGTCTGTCTTCAAAAGTGACACCGCATGTAGCCTTCCTCGTTTGGAGTGGGATGCAGGTCTCTATGGACTGAAGTAGCTACTTACCATCAGGTGGACTTTTTTATAGGGTAAGGGTGACAAACGAGCGCACAGTCCACCTGATGGTAAGTGGTTGCTGCGGCTCATAGATATTCTATATCTATCCTCGATTACGAATCAAAATGCAGTTGCGTTGTCACCCGTGAGGACTATGATGGAATGTCCCGTTTCCAGTAAAAAGGGTCTCTGTTTCTCTACACTCACCATACGAAACGCAACAGCGTTAAACTGCTATTTTACGCAGGTATTCTGTGAGAGCGTAGTCCTTTCCCGGTCGAGCTGACCCATTCGTGCTACAACTATACTACTAATATAGCTTCAGCATGGCTCTACCACGTAAAAAGACTGTAAGTTCTTTTGTCACATTAGTCTAAATATAGCTTCAAAGTGATAATAAACCGCGGTAGCCAACTCGCTTGGGAACTACGGCAATTATGCCTCATATTTACTTTTATTTAAGATTTAATAATAACTACCTAATAACCAATTTTTTTATCTCTTTATTTATATGGATATATAACTAGCTGACCAGGCAGACTTTGTTTTGCCCTCTCTGACAATCTTTTGTCCTGTAACAAAATCCCTAAAGTCGTAATAAGGAACATTGTCACTTATCGGGATAAAATCTATACTATCTCTAAAGTTGGACCCAACTGCACACAGTGTGCAAAATTTCTTTGAAATCAGTTTAGTACTCGTAGTTTAGGTGTTAGAGTGGGAAACAAACAAT